ATATTTCATTTAGTTTTGATTCTGCCCCTAAAAGACAAGAAAAATACATGTGCAATAGCAACTCTATTTTTGACTCTATGTATTAATAATACATCTCCTCCTCTTCAGCCTGGAAAAGCAGGTGAGGAAAGAAAACTTTCTAAAAGGTTCAGCTTTTGTTTTTGTAATGCCTCTTTTGGCCACAAGAGAATACAATGAACTCCTGGGTAATTTTCCCAAGTTTTAGTGGTATCAGTTTTGGGCAAAGGTGCATCGTCTCCTTTTGTAGCCAGAAGAGTAATTAAGCTGATAAATGAAACCGACTTTCAAGGAAAGTTAATTTTTTTCTCACTTGTCTGAACTGAGTGAAAAAGAAACAAGCAAACATTTTGGATGTTTATCAAATTGACGAGAAAGTCTAAAAACTGCAATTGAATTGATTAATTGGAAGAAGTGAAACAGAAGAATAGTGAGAATACCATCTTAAATTCTTAATAACTACATTTGAGTAAAGTTTTGAATGTAACTAAGAACTGCCAAAACTGATGAATGTGCAGCTTTTTCAGAAAACAATCCCTGTGGAAAAACATCTCAGGTAAGCACCATATCACATTTTATTCACAGCTGTGCTGTATCAAAACAAATAGAGCTGTCAGAGAAGCAGAATTAATTGTCAATTTTGGAGATCTCGGTAACACAGCACACATTTTTGATGCAAGCTTTAAGAATTGAAACAGAGAGAATCTGAAGCGAATGTACAGGACTTCATGTTTTTAAAATTAGCTGATCCACTTTCATAGTGCTGCCAGAGATGTGGAGATCTGTAGGATGAATAGACATGTCACGCATGACAGTTCCTTTCTAGACTTCAAACAGACCCAGCTGGGCTGTGACGTTTGTTCAGACTCGCCGCCCAGCTGGGAGACAAATCCCCTTCCATTCAAAGTTTGATCCAGACAGACCGGCTTTTCTCTGATGGGTGTCAAGCTGCAACTTCTCCCTCATCTGTATGATCCTACGCCAAAATGTGCAAGAAAGAGAAAAAATCCTCACATCTGGTTTAAGTTTGCTCCATCAATCTATTTTTTTTTCTTTGTAAGAACAAAAATGACACAGGAAAGATAGATCAAGAAAATAGGTGTCATGTTTTTGCTTTTTATTTGATCTAGTTAAAGTAATATCTTGACTTCTTGGCAGTGCAGCTATAGATTATTGCCATATTGATGACTAAAGAAAATCTATCACACAAGCTACCCTGTAGTATTTGTTTCCTGGTGTTAGTGGTGGTATTGAATTTTGCCTTTGATTGCATGTAAATGTCAAAGAATATATAAGTCAAATATTTTAAAATCATACTGGTTAGAAAATAAAACAGAACTCATTCTGTAACATGACTGGAAAAGCCCAGGGAGAGCATCCCTGTTCTCAATATTCCCATGTCAAAAGACTGCCTCAATACATGGTTTGTTAGGTTATATTTCAAATAGTGATGCATTAAATGTTTGCACATTGATAAAATGTGCAGTCAGCCATAATGACTTTGACATTTCTTCATTCAAACACCTAATATAGCTTCAAGATGCTGCAAAAAGAAAGAGGTTCTAATTAATCTCAATCATTACATTAATCATAGTATAAAAATGTCATAATTTTGTGCAACTCTAAAATGATATATCAGAAAATATAAAATCCAACTTTTATCCAAAAAATGCTGTGAAGTTGCTTCAATTGTAAATCCATTTTTTTTCCCTGTTCTTTATTTTTTTTTTTCCATTTTGCTCCTGAAACTTTAATAAATCAAAGCACTATATGCGATGATATGCCGAATGTACAGACACAAGCAATGCCTTTGGACTAATCCAAGTGCGGCACATTAGCACCAGCGTTGATTTGAAATATGAAGATGATGGATGTGAAAGTGTGCAGGTTAGACATCTGTAGTAAACAGATTGGACTGCAATGGCTGATCAATGGGCTCTGTTCCACTGTAATTAGACACACAGAGCCACTGGTTGGCTCCAGCCACTTCAGCATAATCACAGCCACCCTTAAAACACACACAGACACACACACACCCGCACACACACACACACACACACACACAGCAGAAGAGCAGAGGAGAGGAGAAGAAGAAAAAAAAATCCATCACTAAATTTGTCCAGACGCACGTACCCACAGTGAGAGAGAGAGACATTTACTGAAGGAGGTATGAAAGTATGAGACAATAAGGACGGCGGCAGGTGGAGGCCCCGCTGGGACGCCATCTTTCTCTCTCCGATTTGCTCTCCTTTAATTGAGACGGTGGGGAAGCCGAGTGGGAAGCGCAGTCTGTTCTGGGAGGATTCGATCCTTGGTCAGCGGAGGAACATGTGGCTGCAGAGGTGGAGCTTTAACCATCCCCACACACACACACACACACACACACACACACACACACACACACACACGCACACACACCCCCACACACACACACACACACACACACGCACACACACCCCCACACACACACACACACACGCACGCACACACACGCACTCACGCACGCACACACACACACACACACACACACCCACACACACGTCCTGTTACAGCATTCCTACCTTTTACTTTCCACCTGTCTGCTGCTTTCCACACGTCTCCTTCAAGTACACCGAGTTACAACACACTTACCCACATACAGCACTCTATTAATTATTAATTTCTGTGTTCGCTACACACATCCCCTTCACCCCGTCGGACCCCTCCCAAATGTGGGAGCGCACAGTTTTTCTTTTGAAAATTGCTCTGTGTACGGAAAGGGGGCTCATAGCAACCAGTGCAAGCACCTCTCAAGTGTTTGTGTTTGGGGAAAGAGAGGAGATGGGGTGGGGTAGGGGGGGTTAGGAGGGTTTATAAATACCCTCTCAGTGCTCTATAGAGTGGGCTCCAGTGGGCTCTGTTTGAAGTAACAGACTGTAGACCTGCTGGGGGGGATCTGACCCCAGTCCCTACAGAACCCCCCCCCCCCCGCACCCCCCCCTCCAATTCCTACAGCAAGTCGGTCAATATCTTGCTTTCTCCTTCACATGAATGCCCCTCCTTCCTCTTCTCGACTCTCCTCTTTGGTTCTTACACACACACACAAATACACACACTTTGTCTCACTCGTTCATCTTTTATTTTCTTGTCTCTATTCTTTCCCCCTCTCCTCTATCTCTCATTTACACACACACGCTCACGCTCACACCCCCCCCCCCCCCACACACACACCGAGACTCACAAAATGCTTACTTTTGTGCATCAGTCACTCAGTCCCCTATTGCGACTCAAACTGCATTAATATTGAATCAAACAGCAGTGTCTCCAGCCAGCAGGCAACAGCCAGTCCCGCTGCCTTGCCCTCCCCTCCCAGTCCTTCTCTCACCGCAGGCTGGCTCCCTGTCTGCACTCCGCAGGATGGAAGGAATATTCCCACTGGGCAGGACGCATGGATTAGCTTTAAATCAACTTTAATATGGCAATAGAGATAGAGCTGTGGCATCGCTGGCGGTGCAGGGGCTAGTTTCTATGTGTCTAAGTAGTAGTTAATACAGTCCCTTGCAATAGTATTTATGCCACTTGCACCTTTTCTCGTCGTGTCTCCTGGCAACCTGAGACTTGCACTTGTTTTATTGAGATTACACACGACCACAAACTTGTACATATTTGCGAAAATGTGCATCTTTTACAAATCGAATTATGAAAAGTTCATCATGCCTTTGCATTTTTTCCCCCTTTACTTTGATATATTCAAATGTCACCTAGAGCCGGTTTGTTCTCAGTATGAATGAAGCTGTAGAAAGAGAAACTTAGTGAACAAACTGCACCATGAAGAGCAACAAAAACAGTAGATGGGGTTAGGGATGGGGTTGTGAGGACGATTAAAGCACATTTATGTAATAAATCAACCCTCCGAGCTTAAATCATCTCACAGAATGCTATTCTATCCATTATCTGAATATGAGGTGTAGCATGAAGCAAACTTACTTATGCATTGCTGTCCTCATAAAATACCAGAATGGATTAGAGAAGACGTCAAGAAGCCTCGGAAATTTCTGCACAGGTTTGAGACTCTGCTGACAGCCCGACTAATAAGATATAAATAAATATGGCCTCTGTGACAAAGAAGCAAAAACATCATCATTGTTAAAAAGAAACTCTGGTGAAGTCCCATTCAAAGTTTGTCGCACGCCATGTAGGGGAAGCAATTTTTTTGCCCGGCTTGCAAAACAATAGCTCTGGGAGAAAGCTAATACTCACCATGAAATATAGTGGTGGCAGCATCATGCTGTGGGGATGCCTCTTTTCACAGGGATAAAGGAGGGGAACTGAGCTGATAGAAAAAAGGAAAAAGAAAAGATTTGAGGTTCGTCCTTCAGCAGAGTAATGACGCTGAACATGCAGACACAGATACAACAGAATGATTTTAATGAAACATATTCATGTGTGAGAATGACCTAGTCAAAGTCAAGACCTGAACTAACAGAGAATACCTAATAGATGATATTCCTACCTGCTCTTCCTCTGATTTGACTTATGTCGAGCTGTTGTGCAAAGAGCAAAAGGCAACATTTAGTTGTAAGTTATGATGGTAAAAAAATTTTAAAAAAATCACAGATGCAACTGGAGTAAAATTGTCTGGATCCAAATGTTCACCACACCTTTTATTTAACTGTCAAAAAAAATAAATAGACAGCCACACGTGATTTTTCGTCCACTTTAAAATCACACATGCCTTTGTGTTGGTAATTCCCATGAAATATCAGTAAACACTGTGGTGTTTGTGGTGGAAATACGACAAAATGTGAAAAAAGTTCAATTAAATCCATAAATACATTTGCAAGGCGGTCACTTTTATTCACCTCCACCAATTCTTTTTGTTGAAAACAATCGCTGCTGTGTATTTACCTTGTTTTTTTGTTTGTTTGTTTGTTCCTTTTCTTTCCCTCCTCTGCTTTCCCGCTCTCATTGCCATCCCTCCCACCGCTGCCACCCAAACCAAGCCTGCAAGCGCAAAGAACAGGAGCAACACAAGGACCGCAACACAGCGCCCAAGAAACAGCGTCTAGTCTTCACGGACCTGCAGCGTCGCACGCTCATCGCCATCTTCAAGGAGAACAAACGCCCGTCCAAGGAAATGCAGATCACCATCTCCCAGCAGCTCGGCCTGGAGCTCAGCACCGTCAGCAACTTCTTCATGAACGCACGCCGCCGCTGCGTGGACCGCTGGCACGACGACCACGGCGCCAGCCCCGGGCAGCCGGGGACCTCCACCACCACCTTCTCCAAGGCCTGAGAGGAGAAGGAGGAGGAATAGGAGGCATTCAAAGAGGGCTGGGGAACCAGGTTGGAGCAGCAGGCGTCACAAGGAGGTGGCTGTGAAACCTGTCTCTGATGACCCCACCTTGACCCTGGACTGCCTGGGAAAAAAAAGCAAACAAAAAAAAAAAAAAAAACCCTTCGTGCCATGCAATCATCATTCTTGTCAGTCAAAAATCTCAAGCTCTCACCTGGAAGAAGCAGAATCTTAAGAGGTGAGATGTGAAGTCAGGTTCACTCTGCTCTACTCACACAAGGACAATCATTAATTTAGTCTTTTTATTTTTTTTGAGAAATTTTTACATCAGACAAAGCAAAGAGACACCAAAGATTTGATCATTTTCTTGGATGGTTTCAACATTTTGCCAGCCTCCTCCTTCAACTCACCTCCTTTGTGTCTGCCTCCTGTTTCACGCCCTCTCTGTGGAAGCAACAAGGGCGAAAGAACGGCAATAAATCTGACGAGACAACAGCACATAGCCTTATTATCAGTGCCCCATCCTGCACATTCACATGCGCTGAGACGGAGAGAAGGCCGTCATAAAGAAAACAGTGCAGCCTGTGGAAAAAAAAAAAAACAACAACAAGGCTTTCCAATTCTCTGCCTCCACCTCCACCCTTTTCACCCCCTCTCCTTCCCCCGTAGTCTCCTTCATTCCTCAGCCAAAGGTATTCCCTGATGGCCAGCCATTTCAGAGAGCAGCTCAGGCTGATCATACAGCAAACTAATGAATTGAAAAATGAATCGATGCAGACGGAGAAAGTGGCTCCTTGACCCCCGCCTCCCCTTTCTGCCTCCTGAAGGTGAAACTCAAGACGTTCAGCAGGAGATCCTCACCTCTTCCAGGCCCAGGTTATATTTTTGCACAGATGTCAAAGGGCCTGCAGGGAGAGATGTCATTGTTACTCCGAGCCTGAGCGTTTAGAGTCTGAGGTTCCCTGACCAAAAGGAGAGGCCGGCACGATGTCTGGACATGCTCTTTGTTCTGCTGGGAGCTCGAATCAATAACTGGGAACCGAACGATGACAACAACACGCTCGGGCATCCAGCCAAACTACATTACAGCTGCATATTAAAAGAAAAAAAAAAGGAAACAAACACAAACAAAAAAAGCAGAGGAGCACACAGAAGACGACACACAAAGGCCTCCAGAGCAGCAGGCAGCAAACCAACAGCACACCACTCCATCCCAGTCCTGTCTGCACTGGCAGAACAACAGTGCCCCCTGCTGTTGACAGTAGAGACCCGTAGTCAGCAGAGTGAAAAAGGTTCGGGGGGAGGGGGGGATCTAGGTGGGAGAATACAGACCAGAGGAGAGGGAAGAAAGGGAAGAGCCACTAGATGCTGAGGAGAAGTCATGGCACAACACATTCAGGCCCTCGCAGCTCTTTGAAGGTGGATCAATAGCTAACCATTATCCTATTGTTGTTCCTCATCCAACCAGCACTGGTGGAGCTGGAGGAAGGGGGTTCGGGGGAGGGATGGTTGAGACGAACGCAGGAAAAAAAAAAGTGCAGGGATTTAGCAAAGGCAGGGAATTACTGTATGTAGGCAGGAATTAACAAATGAGAAAAAAAAACTACTACTGAAAACGGAGGAGAGAGAAGTGCATCAGGGGGAAACAGAAAGGCGAGACAGACTCATTGGAGGTTAAAATTTTCTATTCTTTTAGTTTGGAGGCTTTATATTTTGCATTCATTTGATCTGTTTGCAAAAAAAAGGAAAAAAAAAAGATCTCCGAAACTGATAATTTAATGTAAACCTTATGGTTATGAATCAGTAGCTAACCCAAAGCAAACCAACGCACTCACAATGACAAAACAGTGCCAATGCTTACTGCCTTAATGTGAGAATACGGTACTAAGGTCAACACACTCTACAGTGCACCTCACTGATGACGAAGGGCAGTGTGTGCCATAGGAACAAACAGCTTGTAACTGAATTGAGATAAACTTTTTTTAGTAAAAACAAATGGGGAAAAAAAAAGAATCTGATTGTACGGCAAAACCCAAACCTCAAATCAATAAAGCAGGAAAAACAAACAAACAAAAAAAAAAACAAAAAACGGCACCAACACAAAACTGGACAAATTTCTCACTCAATCTTTGGTTCTCTACCTCCTTTTTCGTCCCTCTAATCTAATCCCATTGGCCCTCGCCCTTTCTCTCTTCCTCTCTATATTGATGCGGGTATTTAATTAGTACCATAGACACAAAGTTTCTATTTCTTGTTACTATTGTGCTCTGTTGTGCATACGTAAGGCACCTTGTTGATAAATCAAAAAAACAACAAAAAAAAACAACAAAAAAAACAAAAAAGGAAGGACTTTTTAAAATGAAAAAAGGGGGACACAAGGACTTGGTCTGCTGAAGGATTTATTTTTTTTGCAGACTTGAAGGAGACATTTGCAGGAAGAAGAGGCAAAAAAAGGGGGGAAGCTGCAGAGAAGAAGAAAAGATGGACGCTTTCTCTCTTCTGGCGTTTCATGTCAGAACTGTGCTACTCTCTAGATGAACCTCAAGAACACACGGGACAAAACGTGACCTCAGAACGTCCTGGCTGACTCGGTTCGCTCTGTCGGAGGGGGACGGGCGGGGTGGGTTAATAGTCATCAGTGTGGTCTTAAGATGCAACTGTAGCATTTCCAACAATGTAGTCAGATTAGCGGTGCAGATTAGATAACAAATGGTCACTATAGAGGAGTTGATGGAGGGGGCACTGACTAAACACCGTGCTGCTGTAAGCAGCGAGTCAACTTCGCCAAAGGAAGATGAGCTAAAATCGACTAGTACAATTCAGTAACCATAGGTAGATAGATAGACTCAGCTCTGTAGTTATGAGGCTGACAAAATGACATTTGTTTGTAGTGAGAACCAGTGTGGCTACCTCACTAAGCTGAGTGGTTTGTGAAACCGCCACTAATACCAAAGATACTGCAGCCTACCAGTCGCAAACTGCCTAGGGGGACAGAGCCCAAAAAAAAAAAAATGTAATCAACCAAAACCCTCCCGATGATTTTGTCCCACAAAAAAAAAACAAAAAAAAAGAAAAAAAAAAGCGCCACACACTGACAAGTATTAAAGACGCACATTACATTCGTTTCTAACAGTGCAGTCAGACTGCATCGTGCCACTTGGGAGGAGGTGGTCGCCTTGCAGACAGAGTTGAGTGCCTTTTCCCTTCAACCACGGGTGGGACTGCACTGGTCACACACACACACGCACACATAAAACACATGCAGTCACGTAGATGCATGCACGCTCTCTCACAAACATGCACTCACACAGACAATGCACCATAATTGGATGGACAGAGGCGAGAGGAGGTGGGGGGGGGGGGTTGCAAAGAGAGGGACACAGAGTGGGGGCTGTGTCAGCATTTTCTCTCATATTGACTTTCCATCTTGATACACTAGAATACAAGCACTTTATCACGTAGTAAGTCTATAAAACATTTTCTCTACACCATTTATTTGAAACAAACCTATGTGTTACTCCTCAATCGTTCAGTCTTTGTGGCTGTATTGTTAATCATCTCTCAGCTCGCCAGTCTTTCAGAATTTTCCCCCCCCGTTCTTCTGCCCGACTTGCTTACGCTCTCGGCCGTTTTTAGCCCTCTCGCATCAGAGATATTTTTGTGTAACAGAGAAAGAGGGGGCCTAAAAAGAGGCTGCTGGGTTTAAGCACTCGGACCGTCTGCATTTATTTCAAGCGACCAACAGTCCACTGCGTGCAAGCACAGAGGCTGCACTGGCAAAGTGTGGAAGACTCAAAACTCTTTCCTCCCTCCACCTTGTCCGTCCAGACAACACCTCCCCCTGGCTAGTGCCAAGACTCGGTAGGCATGTGTTTGACAATTAATTCTGAAATACCTCAAAAACCTTTCATGTAAACTTTATGTAATTTAAAGCTGAAAATAATAATGCTAATGATTACGATGATTATGAAACTATGATACTTATGATAGTTAGTTTTCGAACTTGTGACTTGAAGCTTTATACTGTTAAAAGAATTCCTTTTATCCGTTTGCTTATTTTTCTCGTACGTTTTCTTGGTTTGTTTTTTTTTTTGCTACGGCATGTACTTACTGTTTTCATAAAAGGAAAAGACATTGTGAATGTTTCTGTGGAGGACTAGCTGAGAAAAAGAAAAGACAAAAGCGAAGGCCAGGACAGAAAGAGAAGAAGTGCGAGAGCCTTGCAGTGGCGCGCAAATGTATTCATGCACCTTTAGTATTTTCACGTTTTGTGATGTTGCAACAAACAAACTTTAATGCTTTTATTTGGTGAAAGTGGATCTTTTTAACAAATAATCTGGAAAGTGTGACATCTGCACTCAATACTTTTTATTTCTTAAAACGTAAGAATAAGTTTTGCCCATGATTCTTTGCGAAACAGCTCAAGTTCAGTCAGTTTGGACAAAGAGTGTCAATGAAAAGCAATCACATCACAGCAAATTTGGCTAAATGATTATAGTTTGACCTAAAGTAATCCACTGTAGCTTTTGTTATGTGTTTCAATTTGTTGTTCTGCACCATGCAGTCTCAAATCTCCTATATTTAGGAGACCTAATTGTGTTGCAGTTAATTTACTTTAAGGCAGTGCTTCTCAAATAGTGGGGCGGGCCCCCTTTGGGGGGCGCGGTGCGATACCTGGGGGGGGGCGTGTGATCCTGGGGAACAGGCTTTTTTTTGGCTGTACTAGTATAAAGTGTAACTGCGCACAGTGGGCGGCAGTGGCGCTCTCATTGTTACTTCTGTCACGTTTGCGACAGTGCAACATTTTACGACTTACAAGACAACAGGTTTGCCTTGGTTAGCAGTGTTAAGTCAACAAAAAGCTCCGACTGCGTTCTGTCTATGGCCTCCATTATTCAACAACCCCCAACATGAAAAAGTTTTTAACAGGGATGAAAAGAAAAGCGGAGAGAGACAAAGATAATGAGACAACAGAAAGTAAACCGAAAGCTAAGAAGAGGAAATACGACGAATCTTATTTAGCGCTTGGCTTCACTGTGACTACAGTTGGAGAAGAGGAAAGACCGGTGTGTTTGCTGTGTCTAAAAATGCTCGCAGCGGACAGCATGAAGCCAAATAAATTAGCGCGTCACTTAAATACGTTACATCCCAATCACGGCGGTAAGCCGCTAGAGTTTTTTTTCAGCGAAAACGTGCTGAATATTGCCAACAGTCATCCCGCTTTGTGAAGGCTACTTCAGTAAACCATCGAGCGCTGCTAGCATCATATAAGGTGGCGTACCAAATTGCGCAGTGCAAAAAGCCCCACACCATAGCAGAGGAGCTGATACTGCCTGCAGTAGACATGGATAGTCACGGTGGGGAGTGGGGGGCGCAAATAGTTTTCTTCTTGATATGGGGGGCGTAACGGAAAATAATTGAGAAGCACTGCTTTAAGGGGTCAAAGTAATGAGGGCTGAATGCTTTAGCATACAACACTTGTCAGTATTGTTGTGTTGCAAATTCCACTTCTCAGTTGTTTGGTGCATTTTTATCAAATAAAATCCAGATTAAATGCATTGAAGTTGAAGTTCAGGAGGTGTGAATACTTTTGCAAGGCACTATAGTTTCATGCTCTCTCCCAGACAGCTACATTCAAAGAAATAAAACAGACGTTTGAACTGAATTATAAACCAAAAAATTGATGTTAAACCAAAGGAGGAATAACCTTACATTCATTGTTAGCTTTCTTCTGCCTTTTAGTTGTCTTTTCTCTGAGGAAAAAAGAAATACAAAAAAGGGGGAAAAAAAAGATAAAACCGTTACTTTTAAAAGGTTCCTGGGTGTGTTCAAGTGCTCCTGATGTTCTTAGATAATTAAAGACCAGCGCCTCCTGTTGAGAAGAAGGTGCACTTTTTTTTCCTTTTCTTTTGTGCATGGATATTGTATAACTGTATAGAAACCAACAGGAATGACCTGTGATTTTGTGGGGAGAGGAAGAGGATAGGAAGACTTTGGAGTGGGCGGAGACTGGGTGGGGGAATATTTTGGTTATCAAAACAAATGCCAGAAAAAAAAAAAAAGGGTGGGGAACTATTTGGGTTTTCGGCGTTGGAGGGGTTGTTGTTTTTAGACTTTCTGTCACTGTTGGAATCACTGATTGTGTGCATGTGTTGTTGCAACCCTTCCCCTCCTTCCCCCCAATGTTTCTTTGATGTATATAAATCCAGACAGTAGGGGGCAGTGTGTGCTGGGGGAGGTCAAACTTGTCTCCTCCCTAATCAATAGCATTCAATCTTCATTCCTCAGCTCGTGGTCCACACTCGGGTCTCGGAATGTGTGTCCTGCTTTTCCAAAGACTGGCTGTTTACTTGGAGTTAATCAGAGGGACACACGCCGATCCGAGCGGCCTTGAATATGCCTGTATGTTTGTCTACATGCTTTTTCGTCAATCTGTGTATATGTGTTCATTTGTACCTTTGTGGAAGACAGTGTTTTTTTTTTCTTTTCTATTTTGCGTTCCATTGCTATGGGTTGCAATATTTGTCATGCAAAATTCTCAAACCATTTCTTGCCGATTGACTGACCAACCAACAGCGGAACCACATGGCAACCCGCCGTCTGGCCTGGAGCGTTGCCCGCGTTTGCTGTCAAACAGCATGTCGCGTGGGGCGACGTCTCGCGACTGGACCTGATGGGTTGCCCTGGCGGGGCCGATGTAGAGACACCCCCAGTCACACTGTGCTCTCCCTCTTCTGTTACCTGTTAATCAATCAGAACCAAGTGTCTTTGTGATGGTAGAAGACAATCAGTTTCAAAACAAGAAAAAAGGTAGAGAGAGGGCAGGCCAGTGGGAAGGAGGAAGGGGAGGATAGAAGAGCGAAAAATCACGGGAGAAGAGGCTCTCTGGATTGAGGCGAACTGCAGTGTGCAACTGCCAAACGACTGCCCCCTCTCGTCCCGGCCCATCGACTCACTCAGATATAGTCATCTTTCACCCCATTCTTGGCAGAACTCTCACTTTTTCACCCTCTCTCGCTCTTCGCTCTGCCTCATCTCCTGCCTCTATGGGGGAGTACAAAAAACAGAGAGCTGCGGTGCAAAGACCATGTTTCCCATCACCCACCATCCGACTCCCGCTGATCTAATGATGATGTAGCCAGCCGCGAGGAAATAAAAATGGCTCCGGTTGGTGGCTTTTGCACAGAGAACTATGCAAACACCTGACCCTCCCCAATCTTAATCGTTGCTGCTGGGTCAGAGTGTATAACCCTCAAACCCCGGCTACCCCCTACTCTACATTTTAGCACTCACAGTTTGACCCTTCACCTCTGTTCATCCAGCCCGTCTCATGAGCTGAATGAGGGTGAAGCAGCACCAGTCGCTCAGCTAGTTTTAGCCCCGAGTGGCCAGGGGTGAAGCGGCACTGCAGCACCCCGTATTTCCACTACAAAAGCCCCAAACTGCCAGTGATGCCAAAATGGAGTCCATGCTGATGTTTGCAAGTTGACCCTCCTCCTTCCCCACCCCCTCTCCCTTCCACTCATCATGGCTCCACTGTCCCACAATGTTTGACTGTCTTTGTCCCCAGCGCCAAGGAAGGGCCACAATCAATGCAAAGACACTTAACATTGTTCCTACTCAAGTTTACAAAGTCGTCTGGAGAGACGGTGGCTTGTACTGCACTCGGACAGACTTACAGATACACAAACAGACATAGGCACATGCTGCAGAGGGTGAATCTGCCCCTTTGAGAGTGTTTTTCTTTTTCTTTCATTTTCTGAAACCAAAGATAAAAATCAAAGGTGTGACAATCTGGCTGCCAAACCTGGAAGACAATACTCATCTTTCTGGGCTGCTCTACGGGTCTTGTGATTTACCCGACCATGTGGGACATTCCACATCTTGCACTTAAACGCACACATGTAGACACCCATAGCCTGGTCAAACACAGACACACATCCACTTGCGTAGAAAAACGGGGAAGCGACCCACTCACGTCTGACCAGAAAGCCTCTCTCCCATCCTCCTCCCACTGCAGAAGCCGGAGAGCCTGTGGAGGACTTTTAGTTTCACTCTAGCTGAGACTCTTGAGAAGGTAAAAAACCTGAGTAATAACTGTTACAGAAAAATAAAAAATCTTAAAAGGATAATATGGGTAAATTGCGTGTTTTGAAATAAATTAACAAATAAAACAATTGTAAAACAAGGTGGGGTTGTTGATTTCTTGTGCGTGGATTGATTGAAAGACAAGTAAGTACGTTTTCTATAATAGTTTTATTAGTAATGAATTATACTAAAATGCTATGTTTAAAATACAGAAACTCAGTTGTATATGAAAAACAATTAATATTATGGTTTTCCAATAAAACTTTGGAACTATTACTAACTTCTCATGCAGAAACAATGGAGTCATGCTAGCTAATCTGACTTTAAATTGATCTTTATAAACCCAAACAAACCAGGCAGAGGAGCTACAGCAATGGTTCCCGGTCACTTCGCCTTTTTACCAATTTCTTATCTATACACACAATTTAATCAATTCCTATTTCCATTTTGTACCTGCAAACAAGCCATCTTATCTCTGTATTCTTTAATAATAGTCTGTCTATTTTTTGCTGTAGTTAAGTATTTTCATAAATTATAGAGATAAACTGTAATAAAAATAGAGTGCAGGATGTTATTTGATCTCGTATTACTAACTGAAGATGTATTGCATGCTATTCCCATTTATTTTTGGTTCTGATCCACGACCAGGTCAGATTACGCTGCTAACATGTGGCGGATTACAACTTCTAATCAAACCAGAATAGTTGTAAATGATGTCCAGCAACTTTCAGCCATCAGTTGTCAACCCCAGCAGGTAAGAATTTATGCATTCAGTAAGTCAGCTCCATTTTGTAGCAGAAAAAGGTCAAATGTGAAATGTGAAAAAACTTTAACGATACAAAATGGAATAGGAATGATCAGCACTCTACTAAAAGACTTATTATCCACAGCTCTGCAACAAATTGTTCATGCTTCAGTAGAGTGAATGCAGACTGGATTGATCACTAATCAATTATAAATCACCTGACTGAAAAGTTCTTCAGGGTTCCACATCGGTTCACCTGCAAAGCCTGCATCAGATCTTCTGTAACCACAATCAACCTCTTATCTCACGTCGGATCTATTCTGACTCAGAAGCAGAATGACTGAAAGCACTTTGGCACACCACAATGCAGAAGCATTGACCTCAAATATCTCATTGCTTTTTACTTGTAGGTACTTTCTCTTCCTTTAACACCTCTGCTCTCCGGATGCTAGTAGCTGAATTAATGAGGCGTCCAGGTCCGGCACCCTGAGAGATGGCGTACGATGACCGACGGAGTGATGACCCTCTTGTGAACCTTGACCTCAGCTCCACTGGAGGAGGGGATGCGTTGTGTATCTGCACGCATACGTAGAAAAACATTTCAGGGATTTGAAAAAAAAAAGTTAACCTACACCCTCAAAAGCAGACAAGCAACTTTTACTCTCCCCAAATCAGAAAAAGTGTGTGAGATTCAAAACACAAAACAGGTGAAGGAGGCAGATTTTCTCCTCGTTCACAAAGACAGTAGAGTTGCTGTTCGAAATACTTTTTCCTTAAAGTCAAGTTGGAAACATAATGCCAAGGGAAGGAAGAGCCTGAAGGTGAAGGAAGAATACACACTTTCTTGCCACAGTTTACAAGATCATTTGAACAGTAGTGAGTAAGCAGCAGCAGCATCAAGAGACCGTGGGTGTTGTTTGTGAGCACAATTTCTCAGGTAAGAAAACGCATCTCACTGAAGTTTTGACATTTTTGTTGTATCACCTCAGAACAAAATGTCTGCTGACATCTTTCGCTTCATCAATAAATCAACAACCTGTCTTCATGATTTGCCACATTAGCCACAATACAAATAATCTTTTCTTAAAATCTGAGCCAAATTATCCACAGATTGATTTCTAACTACTGTTCCATTTCATTCATAATTATCTTCTGGCAATATTTGTGTTCTCTGATGAATGTCTTTATTCTATGAATGTCTAAAGATGTTAAAAGACGTGTGTCTTTATTCACACGTCTTTTAACTTTTAATATGGAAATGACATTGAACAACAAACTACAAGCCCGAACAAAAATCAGAACTTGCAAAATGATGCATTTCAGTTGATCTTCTATTGAAAAGTCTGCTGTGCATTCTCACAAATGCCCACAGATGTCCCACCTTGTGTTTGTTGTGCACGCTGAGAATGACACTGAAGGCGTGAGATGTAACCGAGGGCAGAACAGCAGCCCAAGCTGTGAGCAAAGCTGTGAGCCACACCACTGGATCAATGAAGGCCTTTTCAGACACACCTGGGGGAAAACAAGCACAGCAGTCAAAACTGGCCACTGGAATACCAACAAATCAAGCAATTTATCCACGAACACCAAAATAATTACACAAAAAACAACATTATTGTTTGATAGCTTATTCTTTGCATTGTATGTGATTGTTTTCTGGATGCACCTTCAGGGTAACACCAGGCAAAATTAAAAACTGAATTAGTAATGAGAATAAAAATAAAAAAAATAAAAAATACCAAGGAAGAAATAGTCGGCGGGCGAGCTCTGAAAAAGGCGGGTGCTGTGTGTGATTCTGGTACAGATGAAGAACATAACCACCGAGACGCACAGAGCTGCAATGTTGAACTTTGTCCAGTATTTGGTCAGTATCACAATCTAACAAGAAAAAACAAAGAAGAATGAGTCTGGATTTATGTGTAGAGCAAGAATAAAAAGATGCTTCCTGTGAAAAAGGGATGTAATCATTGTTTTTTTATTTTATTTTTATTGTGAGCTATTGAAATTCAGAAAAAAGATAACTTTACATGACTGCAGATATTAACAGACAGAGGGGTTCAGTTGGAATAAGTATTTAGAGCATGCACAAACAATGAATAAAAGGATGAAATATTTTGTCAGGCAAAATCTGCCAGAAATGTGCAAATGTTGGATCTGTCTGCGCTCCATCAATAAATGAACAGCAAGTTATCCATACAACTTTTTGCTAAAAAAAAAAAAAAAAAGACAAAGAGGAGAGGAAGCTTTAACCTGACCGCTGTGTGATTCTGGTACACAAGATTAAACTGAATGCTGTAGGACTTTATTTAGCAATTGTAAGAAAACAATAATTCAGTCTTTCTATGCTTTTCTTTCTGCTTAAAAATTATTCTTTACATCCCAATAAAACAACATGTGGTTGTAACAAAGCAGAACGTAAGTTACTTTTGACAAAACGCAATCCTGACCTCAATTGTGACAGCGAAGGTTGCAGCCATCGAGACAGTGACCGCCATGGTCTGGTAATCATAGGCTGTGTTGTAGAAAACTCCACATGGGATGAAAAAGAGAACAAGTGACATGTAGACAGCATACAGAAGATACGTGATCAGCTTTCTAGGGCTGGAGAGCTCCTTCTTCTGTCCACTCTTGTACAGTTCAGGCAATTTCAGACTGTTCTCTGCACTCACATCCTATTAAACAAAAATATACAGCGCCCGCTGTAATTATTTTCATATTTATCCTTTTCAGTGGTTAGCAAAACAAAAGACTGACCTGTTCAAAAAAAGCCATGCACATCACCGGCGTCGCAGTGTAGAAGACAGTGTAGAGAGCGATGAACCATGTCTCGTACAGAGACTGTGGGGAAATTATGGTTGGTCTCTCCATCGTGAGGCATAATTTCATATGACTTTGTGTGAGTGTGTTCCAAACCTGAGCACTGAAGCCATTAAGGATCCCAAACCAAATGTGCACAAGAGCAAAACCACAGGTCTTAAACAGAAAGTAGCACAGGAAGAGGGAGATGCGGCGATAGGACCAGCGTCCGTGGACCAGCAGCAGTCTTTGCAAAAATCTAAACTGGGACACTGCAAAGTCTGCGTTCTGGACGGCCTGACCTCCCTCCCTGCCAGCCAGCCCCACTCCAATGTGAGCCGCTGGTGTTGATGGAACGATGTGGAAAACATAGTAAAATGAACACAGCAAAATGAGTGCAGTATTTTCTTTCCCCCCATTAATCTGCTACTGATGATCAAAACTTACTCTTGATCATGTTAACATCATTGGCTCCATCACCAATGCACATAGTGATCGAGGCCGTGTGCTTCCTGACCAACTTCACGATCTCAGCTTTCTGAGCAGGCGTCACTCTGCAGCACAGCACTGACTGACACTGCTCTGCCAGGCTCATGAAGGAGGCGCCCCACTCTGGTCTCTCCTCAAACTCTGTCTGGGGACAGACACAATCAAGCAGCTTAGAAACTGACTTTGACATAAAAACTTGGCCAAAGCACTAAAAAAGGTTTTTATAGGTTTGTTCGGTAGTAAAAGCAAAGGTTGTCTCATTTTGTATTCGGGAAAAGTCGCCAATGTTGCATCCAATAAAAATGCTCTTTGAATATCAAATTCCAGCAGAGCTGCAGTGGGAAAGAGGCAGGGCCGCTCAGGCTGATGGAGAACAGCAATCAGGTTTTCTGAGTTCACCACAAACTTGCAAGTGTGTTTTAGACTAGTATTTTATTAAAGTTTTAACTACAAATAGTGAGAAAGGGACATTTTTATGAGTTGACATATTTGGCAGCTTGCAAATATTAAATTTTTTTAATAAGAGGCATGCACGATGAAGAAGCTGGAATCAAACCAGCAACCTTCAGATTGCAAGATAACCTGACCACAAGCTTGACCCACTCACCAGGTGAATCCACAATATGCGTGATGTATTTTTTCTTGACTTTTCTTGACAGTTTTTGCGCTCTGGATATCACATTTTTTATTCAATGGTTTTTCCTTTAATTACAACGGTCAGATCAAAGAAGCCCTTAAAATTATTGTTCATTTTGGTTGTGTGTGGCGAGCACAAGTTCTGGCATGTGCAAAATAACACTTATGTTGAATTTTGAACATTTCCAAATCCCCTTTGACATAAGTACAAAGTAAACAAAGTATCGAATTCTGCATGCCTCTAAACCCCGCGTATCTAAAACAATGCACATTTTCAATAGAGAATCGCAGAGGAAAAAAAAGCAAAACAAACTGATCTATGAAAATATTATATGTTTTTTATTTACTGTGTAGGCTGTAGTTTACCAGTTCAGATCCGGTGAGGACCACAGAAGTTTTTGCTCTTGCCATCTCCTTGTGTGTAGCCCACAGCTCTGTCTGCTTGGCTTTGAAGAAGCTGACCTGTGGGTCTGCAGACTGGAGAATCTGCCTGCGTGAGCAAAACAAGCAATGATCAATGGGATATCAAGAACATGTGCGTGTGAGTGTTCTTGGGCTATTTGCTTTTATTTTATATTTCGTGTATGAACGCAGACCTGAGATCCTGCCACTCCAGTAATCTGCTTTCAGGGTGCAGGAGCTTGCAAGAGTACCCGATGTTCACTGCAGTTTCTAAAGGCACAAGGGGTAGAAGAGCAAAAAAAATAAAAACCATGATGAACTGTTATTTCTCTTTTCCTTCATTCTTTCCATGAATTTTCCCCAATACCTTTTTTGTCTCCAGTCAGCACCCATACTCTAATCCCAGCCTCTTGAAGAAGAGCGATTGTCTCAGGAACTCCCTCCTGGAGCCGGTCCTCAATTGCCGTCACCCCCAGAAGCTACAACATTGGTTATGTTCAAGCAATTTAAAATATTATTCACGGTGGATTTCAAAAGTTTCTTTCTCGAAAAACAATGCAGAAATTGCTTAGAATAATAACACAAAAAAAAAAAGAAAAGAAAAGTAAAGCTATCACTGCTGGTTAGATCAATAACATGTTTTCAAATGGAAAGAGACAGAGCAGCACCAGCAGATCTCTCTCCATCTCATCGTACAGCTTCTCCAGCAGCGTGTCACGCTCGCAGGTCTCCATGGCAGCAGACAGGGCCAGAGTCTTGCTCCACTGCTCCCACAATGCCTCAGGAACAGATCGAACCGCAACACACAGCGTCCTCAGACAGGCCTCGGCAAACAGCTGACAGAAGATGAGTTAATAAGGTTTTACAACAGGCTGCACTTCAGTTGTGAAGCAACGTTTAAGGAAAAGAAACACAGGCAGAAAAATAAAATCGGACCCGTTACTAAATATTAGTATTTGGTCAGTGTTTACTCTGCACAGAACCTTATCAAAGAGTTTATACCTGTTGAATTCACCCATCAACTTTAATATGCTTTCATATATATATATATATATATATATATATATATATATATATATATATATATATATATATATATATATATATATATATATATATATATATATATATATATATATTTTTTTTTTTTTTTATATTATTTTTTTTACTGGAAACATATGTGATAGAACATTGAAACCCATATGACTGTGAAGTAGAAGGACCTGATTAAGTTTTTTAAAAGTTATTTACAAATGAAAATAAACTAAAATATGAGAAGTATGATTAACAATTTTGCTGGGTTGTTAATCAGCAAAATTAACAACCCATCTGAAGCCATTTACCTTCAGATGTAAATAATTAGTAAAAAAAAAAAAAAAAACCCTGCTAATACATATTGTTTGATCTCAGTACAAATCTTGCTCTCTTGTGAATGCATTAGTGCCAAGCAGCAACTAGGAGTTCACCAGGCAGGCAGGGAGAACGTCATGGAGAATTTTAAATGGGCTTAGGCACCATCAGCCAACTTTAAAAAACTGATACGACATGGGAGAATTGAAGAAAGAAAACTGTGTTTGAAAGAAAGCCATAAGAAGTCTTACTTGCAGTTTACCACAAGTCGTGTACGGGAGTCAGCAAAAGTGTAGCTGAAGGTACTCTGATGATCTAAGCCCATGATTGAACTTAATGGTCTCCTTTGAAAATGGTTTCTTTGAGGCAGCTAAAGGGGTTTTCTGAGTTAAGTGCAGCTCCTACATGGCATGGAGGTAATATTAGCTCAGGGGAGCTCGCCTTATGCTCAGGTCAAAGGTTTAACCACAACTTGTTATGATGGATTCTTGAGCAGCAAATAGGGAAAAATTGTCTCAAACTGCTGCAGGCCAAAAAGCAGCTGGTTAATGTGGAAGCAGATCTTTGTTGCCTTTTCCACTGTGAAACACGGTGGTGACAGCATCATGCTGTGAGGAAGCTCTTCTTTAGCAGATTCAGGGACATTTAGATAAATTTAAATACAGAGAAGATTACATCACATTTGCCATTTAACCTCACAATCATAAACTGCTTTATTCGTCTCTTCAAGTCCTAATAAGACCCAATAGTGTTTGTCGTTCTTGTGCAATAAAATGGAAAGAAGCTCACTTCAAGGATTGACCCCGGACAGGAAGAGGTCAAAGTAATAACAAAATTTAACTGCGTCACCTCTAATGCCATTTCAGTGCTTTCCTGATGTGGACAGTTCTTCTGAAGTCTCTCCAGTATTACTACATCTGCTCCTTTACAGTAAAGTTTCAACCCGCCCTCTGGGTCACGTACTACAGAAAATAAAACAAATAAAGATAATAATAATTAAAAAAAGACAATGTGTTTTGTTTAGGCAAAATGAGTATTTAGAATTTCTTAAAAAATAATAATAATAATTCTTCTCCTACCAAGGACAGACATTCGCCTCCTTTTGCTAGTAAAGTCCAACAGCGCCAGCAGCTGGTACTGGCGAGTGGCACCCAGCTCTGAAACGACAACAAAGTCTCTTGTTCTGGAAAGAAACACCCAGCCGAGCTCCCTGGCAGCCCCAACAAGAGTTTCTTCATCTGGTGATGCAGCCTGGTAAACCGGGGATCCTGAGAAAAATACAGCCAACACACAAAATACACCTATAAGCATCGTTCTCTGCAGATCTAAAAAAAAATCTGGGGATGATTTCATAGTACAGACCACTGGAATTTTTCCACTTACCATATGAACTTTTTAAAATTCATTATTTAAAGTGTGAGAACTCAATACATCTATCTACCCAATCATCGTCTAAACCTGCTTATCCATGCTGGGGCCTCAGGGGAGTGGCAGAGTTCACCCTGGACAGTCCGTCACAGGACAAGCCACCATGCATACATAACCTAAGGGCAATTTAAACGGCTCAATTCACCAAAAACTCCTGTTTTTGGAATGGACACTGGAGTACCTGGAAACAAATCCATGCATACAAACAAAGAACTTGCATACTCCAATCAAAAAGAGCCCATAAACTTCTTGCTTCAAGCCATCAGTACTGCATTACACAAGACGTGTCATGATTTCTAGGACGTGACTGAGAAGTGACAGGAAGTAAAATCATGAATCACTATAGTCACGTAGTTTCTAAAGAACCCACAGGAAGACAGGTGTTGCTTCAAGTCTGATGACTAACAGCATGGTTTATTGTGTCTTCTCGAGAATGAGAGTTGATATATGTAGAAATGAATCAGCACAAGCAAGAAAGCTCACCTTCCTTCCACTCGGCCATGACGGTGTGACACAGAGCCAGCGCGGACAGAAACTGTGTGGTGACTGGACACCGCTGTCCTCTGAGCGTCTCCACTAGTGAGGGAGAGAACATGCGCAGGCCCCCGCTGGAGAACGGGTTCCAGCTCAGATCCATGGGCTGAGAAACAACATTGGGAAAATGAGCAAGTAAAAGAACTGCGTCGATGTTACAGAATGCCTCGTAATCAAGTGGATTAAGTAAGTTATTTATTTATAAAAGGACAGATTTGTCATTGAACACTGAATCAGGTCAAACCTTTTCAGTTCAGATCAACAAGATCATTTCTACTGGATAATTCCAGAATAATGAGAAACAATCATTCTGCACATGCTTTCTCTTAGTATTTGGTAAAATTGCCTTGAAAAATGCATGACTTGGATCTTTGTTATTTGTGTCCTTTCACTTTGAGAACTCCTCTCTGGATAATCTCTACAGATCAGGAGAGTCAAACTCCACTGTTCCTCCTACTTTCACTTGAATTTCTGCTTCAACACACCTTAATCAAATAGTTTGATCGTTAGGAGGACTCAGTAGTACTTTGCTGACACTCAGCCATTCAATTTAGGTGTGTTGGACCAGGGAGACATCTAAACGTTGCGGGACATCGGCCCTCAAGGATTGAACCTGGACACCTCTGCTTGATCCTCAGTTTAAATATTGAACATACAAAACCTGAATTTTATTTACTAGCTCATGTGGAGGCACATGCAAAGCTTGCTTCTCATTTTTTTCTGCCCAACCAATGTTCTAGTCAAATGGAGACTGAAACTGTATCTTAGTGAGTACGGTACCTTTACATCCTCTGCACTGACTGAGGCGTCACCTGTGGGAGTGGAAAATATTTTCTGTTTAACTGACTTTTAAACAGCACATTAAAAATGTTGTCTACATATGTAATGTTCTTTTTGAAATGCTGGTTGAAAAGATAGATAACACACAAACTGGGTTATAGGACTCCAACACGTAACAAGTAATTGGCCTTACATGTATGGTTAGAGTCACTGTTAAATAGATAGAAGATGTTTTTGCATTTGAACATGTTACATTACATAAATGTTTAATCTATTCAAAGTTGGTCATTAAAGTCTCTGGAGAAAATTTTAAAACTTCCTCACACAAAATCTGAAACAGTCTTCCATTTTTAATTTAAATTTTTAGTTTTATTTTTTTTCATTTGGTGATTACTAACCCGAAACCTGACTGTCTTTGTACATTTCAAAATAGAAACCAGTCTAACAAGAAGGTTTTTGAAACATCATTTTGATCCAGACATGTCATAAAGCTGAGAGCCCTAAACTAAAACATAAAGTAAAAATTTAGATTTTGACATATAATACAGCAACCCGCGAACCTATACCAGAAAGCTCATTGTATTTACCGTAAATTTCTCCGGCGATGCAGCATTGTCTGAGGAGCAGGCGATTCTGGGTTAATGTGCCAGTTTTGTCACTCAGCAGGTAACCTACTTGGCCGAGCTCCTCACTCAGAGAGGTATTCCTGGCTTCTGCAGGTTTGCCCGTCTGTTGCCAATACATCTCCAAATCCCAGCCAATAAACTTGCTGTGAATGGTGTGTATCACCTCAAACCTGAATACACACATGTAGAGGAAATAAACTCATTAGAAATTGTTTATCTTGGCGCCGTGTGGCTCAGGGACGGAGGAGGCACACGACATGATGAAGATGGAGTTCCTGGTGTGCCTTACGCTCTGTTATTTTGCCTATAAAGTTTCTAATAAACAAAGACTTCTAAAGTCAAAGAAATCATAAAAAAACAGAAGCATGTAAGTCACAGGGACAAATTTGTTGGTCTCTGGAAAAGCGTTTCGGTTCGTAGCAAATATTTACCAAAGTACATGAAGAAAAGCTTTAGCAATTTATAAAGAAAATCTTTTAGTTTGAGAAAGCAACCTTTAAAACCATGGACATTCATAGACAGCTTTCATAGTTTTTTTTTCTTTTTTACAATGTTTACTTTTGATCTCAGGAGATTCAAGTTTAAAGATTAAAGTTTAGAGATGAAAGTCAAAATTCTGAACATAGAGTCAGATTATTCTTTCCTTAATGGTCTTTGAATATATTAAAAACTACACTTTTCTTTCGACTGTACTGACATTGTATCATTATTCTTCTCTGTACATTGATGCTTGCAAAAGTGGCTTTTTACTAAAAATTCCAGTGATCCAATTGTTACTAACGTGATGTAGAGCGCAATGGGCATGGCCGGGCTGAGAAGGATGATGTAACTCCAGTAGACGAGGAACCCGTTGTAAGCTGGATTACCATCAGTCACCAGAGCAGACAGGAACGATGTTTGGGTCATGGCCTGATGTGAAGACACGCCTGAACCGATGGCAAGAAGCGCAGCAGCCAGCAGAACCGACAGGACAATCTAACAAACCAGAATAAAGACATTTATTAGAACTCCACAAGTTGCTTCTTGCTTGTCTTCCCCCTGTCCTTCATGAACTCACCCCGATTACCACTTTGTTGAAAACTTTTTCCAGTTCAGTTCTTTTTACTCTCAGTTTCCCGCAGTTTCTCAGGATTTTTGTGTCTGCGCCTGGCGTGGAAAAAAAAAAAACAACAGCAAACATAACAAAACAACAACCGTCATCTGCTACCTCTACAGCACGTTTCAGAAGACCACTCTGCAGTCACAGGGTCAGAGTTCAAGACCTTGCGGCAGCAAGACTCTGCTGATGTACCCTTGAGCAACATGCAGAATCCCCTTAGTCCTCCGGGGATGTGTGACCCCAATGCGAAGGTCGAGTGAAGAGAGAAGTTATCTCACGCAGATCAATAAGGTATAGCATTATGCTTTCCAGAGATGTTCTCTCAGACTCAACTAAACTGTTTAAAGACACTGAATTTCATTTGAAAGACTGATACGACTGCTCAAGGCCAGAATACTTGTTGTAACTAATATAATGCGACATTAGATTTCTGATCTGAACTTAGAGTACACCAAGAGGCACTCTTTGCAAAATCTGAAACTTCCCTTTAACTGCAATGCGTTGGCGCCAAGCAGCAACTCTGCCTGGCCAAGAAATACCTGAACAATGGTCACTTAGAGGACAGGGGAAGAGTGTAATCTCCCATACTTTAGAACTTCACATTTTAAAGACAAAGCTGCAAGAGTTAATTATTTAGTGTCATAATTAGAAGCACACTCTGTTCTATGTAATACAATTATTTGTTGAAGTAAGTGTAAAACCGCTGTACAAGTTAGCCTGAAACAAACTGATTAGTTTGACAACAGCTGAAGTCGGTTTCATAAATAAATTCCCCACCCAGTTAAAACTGTCAAATTTTGTGACTTGTGAAAAGTTTCATACCCAAAAATGTCAGCAGCAATATTAATAAATCTAGGTCTTAAAAGCTGCATTTTACATTTTTGTTAAAGTATAAGACAGATAATCTGTAAAAAAAGAAAAAAAAAGAGCTTATCTGCCTTCAACCTGAGCTACCTGCAGAAATACACTACTCAGTCAGAAATAACCAATTAGAGTCAGGAGGCGGGTCTTTGCATTGTCAATCATGCTCATGCTCAACCTCTCTGCCGTGCTTTTTGCTAAACTACAACTGATTCACTTCATAGCCTGGCACAATGCTAAAGCTATTTAGCACAGCTACAGATAATGAGGATAAATTGTTTTCCTGAAACGTCTAAGCTGCTTCTCTGTCATTAGCACCTTTAGCAGCATTGAATGACAACACTAAAACGCTCCCCCTGGCTTTGATTGGTTGTTTTTGATGGAGTGCATTTCAGGGAGGAAGTGGGGGAGCTTGATCCTTTCACAGATTACCTGTCTGATATCAATCATACTGTCACGACATCATGACGGTTTTAACAAAAACATATTTTGGATAAAGTTACATATTGCACCAAAGTCAACCCAGTTCTGCTTTCAAAAATTATTGAAGTTGTTTGTATGACCTTCACTTCACCTTGGAAAGAAAGGGGATGTTCAAATGTGTCTTTAAAGACCCACATTTAAACCAAGGTGACATTCAAACCAAGGTGAGTGAATGCGCACTTTTGACAACACTATATCTGTTCTTTTAGACCTAATGTCGAACTCTACCGGTGTATATCGTCAGGCCGTAGGCAAAGTCTGTGTTGCGTAGGACTGTTCCCCTAAGGAGGATATGTTCGTTTTCCAGGAGGAAGCACTCTCCTCGCCATTGCAGCTGACCTCTGAAAGTGTACAGGCGATTGTTGGGTTCCTCACAGAGCACAACACCTATGGAATCAAATGTTCACCGATTAAATTGCACTCTTCTTTGAAAAGAGAGCAACTTGGACATTTAGTCAGAAGAGAGGACATTTATTTACCATTAAAGGCTCCCAGGGCCTCCTCTGAAGGGTGAGAGGTCAGCTCATTATGTGTTGCAGTCAGCGCCTGCCGGTATTTCAGGTTGGTCTCACTTAAAGAAGAAAAAAAAATCATGCAGTCTTTTAAACAGTTTAGAGGATTTATTTGTTAAATCTGTAAGCTTCACCATTATGAGCTAAAATAGAGGAAAGCTGGACTTTTGCATCAGAGAAAGTGAAGAGGCTTGTAAGGTGAGTAAAATAAATCTCCAAAACTCGTTGTGAAAACTGCAGCAAATTTACAGCAAGATTATATTTTTCCAATAAAATCTACATTTATTCAAACAGTTTCTAATGTCATTAGTGGGAGTGCCAAAATTTGGAAGTGCAGTCTGTCTATTATTATTTTGCTTGTTTCTCATTTGCAAACATTTATGTTGTACTTTTCATTTTTGTACAACAGTAGTCTTGATTTGTGTGTACAGACTATCACATGTTCTGCTCTGAAAAGCTGTTATTCCGTTTACTCAAAATAACATAATTTAACTAAATATTTTAGCATGTGGTTTGAAAAGTTGATGTAGAAAGTAGGAACATTTTTCACAGTCACTCAGCAGATTCAGCAAACAGATTTATTGGGTTTTCAACATTTTGTTACCCATCAATATCAGCAGTCTCCACATAACACAAACTATGAGGCTCAGAACTGGAAAGCAGAAGAAGATCAGCCTGGGAGGAAAGATAGAAATGCACATATTCTTTTAAAGCAAAGATGGGCGTTTGGTAGCAGAAAACTCTGAACATAACTTATAAAGCAGGTTGCATAAAATGACCACATTTGCATGCTTTTTGTCATATTTTGTCTTCAAAAGAAAATTAAACGCTTTTTGAATAAAGGTAGTATAATATTTCAGTTCTTTTTTATTTATTAATTGACTCACAGGAATGATTTGGTCTCTGCGGATCCTCAACACATCTCCAACACACAGATCTTTCCACTGTGCTGTCTTGAAACTGTAAGAAAAATTAAAATAAACACAGTCTGTATTTAACTATATATATATATATATATATATATATATATATATATATATATATATATATATATATTATATATATATATATATATATGTATATATAGACATCAACAATGTATATATATATATATATATATATATATATATAATATATATATATATATATATATATATATATATATATATATATGCACATGTGTGTGTGTATTAGTGGATATATTTAAAAGTTGCATTTTGTATACATTTGTCTTTTGCGTACATGTGTGTAATCATATGGATGTGTTCTGGACGGATGTACAAGCATTTTTTTTGTGTAATTAAAAAGCTATGTTGCATATTAAAATAGGAAATAGCCAAATACATATTCATTCAGCTCATCAAAACCTTCTACTTTGAATTCTAAGAACATTAAGTTTATAATTCTTAAAGGGATTTTTTAATCATTATTATTATTTTATTATTATTATTAGTCACATCCTGCAGCAAATATATGTTTCTGGTTACACACACTCATCAAGGTCTTGAATGCTACGTAGATATCGGGCTTTGAACAACTAATTTATACAAAATGTGTTTCAGTTGTGCTTGAAAAAGTTCATTCTGGAGCAGGTTCCTGGTTACTCTTTTGGTCACAATTATTGTTCATTATCATTTGCTCATCAAAAATTTACATTTTAGATTCATCCTTAAAAGAATAAAAAAATATTTTATCTATTAATTTATTCCTAAGGTAAAATCTTCCCTGCAGGAGAGCGTGTTTGTCACGGCCCTCTGATTTTCTCAGAAGTTGCTTTGCATTTTTGCCTCACTTTGATTTATGAAAGAACCATTTAGGGATTCACTCATTTACACTTCATTAGAGATTCATTAGTGGACTGTTTCAGCCGCGATGCTGCACTGATTCCTGCGAGAATCAGTGCAGATTCTCTGCCTTTGTCCTCACCTCTGGGAGATGAGTACGTCACAGGGTCGGGAGTTAATCTCCGAGTCGCAGCGTCGCCTCGCCTGCACCAGGGTGGAGACACAGACACCGGCAGGTGGAAAGATTGGAAAAGAGCATTAGAGCCGAGCCAGACACTGGCGTCAAGTACAGGAGTTCAGAGTGATGGACAAGGAGCAAGTGAGAGGGAATGAGGGCGGCCATGAAAGGCTGAACAGGAGGAAGGAGAAAGGAGAGATGCCATTACGAGGCTCTACAGTGACACCAGCTGGGAGATTTACACCCTCCACTAAATGATTAGTCAATAAAGAGGGGTCAAGCAAGCGTTTCACCCAGAGTCGTTAACGACCGTAACTCAGTGATGCACTTAACTAGAGAATTCTCCATGCAAAACATCGTGCCTGCATTTAAAAGAAAAAGCTTTAATGATAGGAAAGAAAATTAATGCCATGAGGATGACTGCTTTTGTCAATGAGGAGAGGACGGGGAGTCAGTGAGGACGAAAAGGGAGGACAGAAGCTTGAGTATCAAGAGGCATGAGGCTGGTCATGACTACTGTAACTACTGTTTCTCCGCCCCTAGTATCTGTTTTTTGTTTTGTTTTGTTTTTAACCAGAAACAATCAGCTTGTATGAGATTGGTCATCTCACCATGTCACCAGCTAAATCTTTGAATCCTCTCACAGAGAGCACAACCAAGAGAGGGATGATGGTGATGTACCAAGGTATGGAGGAGATGGCAGGGACACACTGGAAACAGACATAGAGCAGAGATTAAAAAAAAAAAACATACATACAATGGAGTTGTAACTATTAGAACACACAAAACAGGAAAAGTACAAATAAAAGCAAATGTTTATACTCCTTGTTAGGCAAAACACATTACAGATGCTGCATATAGAGAATTACTAAACATTGACCCCACTTCAGCGTTTGTGATTTTGCTAACTCTAACCTCGATGTATTTTGCTTTGATTCCATTGAGGAAAAAATCAATTAGGCTACTTCTAAGTGAAAGTGTAATATTTGGTTTCTGAATCTCAAAACGACACAAAGACCAGAGTAACTTGCATGTAAAAGAAGGCGACACCAAAACAGAACCACATAGCCATCATGGAAACATTATGTAAAAAAAAGAAAGACACTGATTGTTTGGAGAGCAAGAGTTGATTCAGACTATAAAATTATTTTTCACTAAACAAATTCAAATCTATGCATTACTTCGCTTCCACATCACAGTTATGAACTATTTTATGGTGATCTCACAAAATGTAAAAATAAAATACGATAAAGTTTGTAATTGTAAGATGACGAAACGTGGACAGATTGAAGGTGTTTAGGCGCTTTTGTGAAGGACTCCGTAATACATATAGATATCAACATCTGTTCAAGTCTGAAGGCCGGCTCACAGCAGAATGCTTCATTTAGATTTAAAATGGAGCGAGAGGGGAGAGCAGAGGTTTTCGTCTGACCTGCAACACCACCATGAGGAGGAAGTAGACATTAGCAACTCTCTGGAACTGCTCAAACAGCGTCAGGGGCAGGAAAGTCAGGAGGGAGTACTTGTGGCTGCGCACCACATTGTCCTGGCAACAATAAGGAAGAGCAACATGGGATTAGACAGCAAGGAACTTGATTCAGAAGACATGGGACAACATGTCTAGCGGCTTTGTGGAAGCTGAGACTTACCGAGTATCGTCCCCAGGTGAAGCACAGGAAAGACTTCCTCTGTTTGTGTTTGTGATAGTGACGGCTGTTTGCCTTCACCTCCCATGTGAGGCCTGATGGATGGAGTTTTTTCAGCTTAGAAACCTTTTTCCAAACAGCCCCTTAAAGCTTGATGCGTATAAGCATGTATTATATATTGATAATGCATGCAAATTGTTTTGTATAACCATTTGTATGAAGATATGTTTTCAGAAACTTCTAAAACACACAAGCAATAAAGGTATCAATGAAACGCAGACTTTGTTTTCATATGATGTGCAAATATATGCTGAAGAAAGATGATCTCTCATAAGTAAACAAGTCAACCACTTTGGATAAACTCACACTGACGTTTCATGGCAAATGCACAATGCTTCAATTTACTCTGTCCTGATTATATTATAATAAATATAGTAGAAATAGGAAACAGTAAAAGGTTTTGTGTAAAATAAAAAAAGTGAGGATTCAACACTAAACTACACTTACCAGTTGTGATGTCTTCTTTGGACATGCTGCTCTGCAGAGTCTGACCTTTACTGTGCTCTGATTAAGAAGAAAACTGATTAATGAGTTGAGATTAATGATCTGAGATGCTTCAGCAGTCTTGTGCCTCGTTACATGTGTTTAACAATATTATTACTTATAGTACAGCATATTAAGAAGAAGATTGATGCTACTGATTCCCCTGCCAGCAGTTACTTTAGCACTTTAAACGACAACTGCAAAAACAAACACAAAATGTTACTATGGGGAGCTAAAGACTAATCTGTGCTTGTCCTCCTTGTGCAGGACTTCAGAGACATGCAGCAACCTTTTGGTCAAACTTACCTTGAATACGTGAAAGAGGCGTGAGACATGAGCAGCTCAGATTCAGGCATTAAAACCTAACCTGCAAACTAAATATAGGTTAGTCAGCACACAGTTTGTGAATTATTTACATAAAAAATGTAGAATTACTACCAAAAAACAATTTTTACGTCTGTTATTCTGTAACTTAGTTGTTTCACAAGACAGATAATATCAAAAAACCTACAAGAGTCAAAGAGTTTACCTGGACTGTTTGCTGAACTCCTGGCTACTCTCTGGCAGCACGACAACATACCTGAACTGTGATTCACTGCTCCAGTGACCACGGAGACAGATTAACACGACTGTTTTCATAATAGTCGTGTTATGAAAACACCACTGTTTTCATAACAATCCTGAATCTCCATTTGCATTATACAAATAATTTCCTATTCACTTGTCTCAGCATCATGTACACCGTGCCTTTGTTATGTCCTTCCAGGTGCACACTTCAGGATTACACAATGTACTTTCAATTCACCTGAGGAAAGGGAGACTAAAGGAGGAGGAGCATCGTGTCTACAATCCTTTCAGAGACTGTTTAGTTTAATTCTGCTTTTCCAGTTATCGCCTACTGAAAGAGATATGTAAAATTAACTGAAAATGACTTTCATGTTAGAAGGAATCGCATTTTTAAAAGGCACAGTGAATGACTATCAACTGACCTAAGTCTCTAAAAAGTCTTAGAGAGTCTTTCTGGCACAGTGATAATGGTGCTTTTGTACAATACAAGCACTGGGAGGATTGGTTTACAGGTGCGTGAAAGCTGTGAGGCTCTGTGATCATGCAAAACCCTTATTGTAATCATTTGTTTTCATAAATTTCCAGCAACCTTTGCTTTTATTAGAATAATTTTCTCCTCGACTCTCATCAAAATTAATATAAACTATAAAAATTACATTTAAATACAAATCTCGGTTAATTATAGTTCATTGCCCAGTTTCTAGACTATAAACAGTGTGGTTTCAATGGGAAAGACTTCTCTTCACCCTTTGTCACTTTATATTTTTACATAAAAACAATATAATTGGGAAAATACAACATTTTAACCTATTTGTTGTGTTGTTGTAGCTTTCCAATATGCAATATTTCACATTTAGCAAGCTGCATTTATTTTATAAAACAAAGCTGGCCTGTCAGATACTGCAGGGGAAATGAGCATTTTGACTTCTTCAAGAATCTAATGCCACCTGGTGGAGGTGAGTAATAACTGCAGCTTCCCTATTGAAGGAGAGGTCAAAGAGGGTCAGCATGTAAACAGTGGAAACGCTGAACAAAAAAGAAGTTTGCTGGATTGATGCTCAGTAAATGACAGTTAAATGTACTATTTGTGGTTTCATATCTCTTTGTCTCATTTCTTTTCCCTGAGTGAGGTTGCCCCCCACAAAGGCCACACACTAACACCTGAACGTGTGCGCATCATACGTCTTATATGTGTCTGCACGTGAATGCGCGTGCATATCTAGGGCAATCTTTTCCTATCTATTTTTACAGTTGGGTTGTGCAGCAGAGTGGTTAGGGTAACGTGCTAGTGGTGTGGTACTGGTGCTCTCAGGCCTACGCAAACAAATGACAGTCGATAGGCCAAACATTTTCCCCCCACAGTTTAACCGTTGCCCAACATGGCAGTCGAACCCCACAACCAATGGACAGGGAGCAAATTATACAGAGAGAACTGTGGTGGCAGGTGGGACAGGGAGGGGGACTCTTTTTCTCCAGGATGTCAAGGGCATGGGCTGCAGTAAACTGAAATCTTGTAGTCTTACCAGAAATGTTCCTATTTAAAGTAATGCCTGCTGTCTGCGCAGGTTACAATAGCTTATCCGTTGCAATACATAGCAGGACATCAGTTATTAATCCATAATGTATGAGTTCCTCGTGGACCTTAAAATTTTTTCATATTTTGCCACTTTACAGCCATAAGCCTCATTGGATTTTGCCGGTACTTTATCTAATAGATCAGTGCTAAGTGGTGTGTGTGAAGCAAAATAATTCAAAACATCAAAAATATAATGAATCAAACATGAAAGTAGTGTTTCATATCTAAGATCAAATTATACCAAAACAGAGACTGCTAAAAATGACTTAATATAAATTGCATTTATATATATATATACAATCAATGTATTGTATGAACTTGCAAGGAAACTTGCAAGGAAAAAAAAATGGGGTGGGGAGAAAATAAAAACCTTAGCTGCAATTTGTAAAAATAAAATGCATATCTCAGCGTTAAAGGTCTGATATCATGACAGTCTTATCTCAACTATTAGACTATTAGCAGTGGAATCTGTGAATGACAATGTCTTAACATTTTCAAGAAAAATTTTGATTCAAAAATATTATTGCTGTCTTTTCATTCATGAAGGGCTTCAAGGCAGTGTTAATTATTAAGGAAGTGAACATTTTTAAAGAGCTGTTTGTCACCATGAATGACAGAAAACCAACCCTCCTCACAAGCACAACAAGAACAGACCCCCACTTAGCATCATGTCCAGAAGTCCCCATCAACATGATAAACAAGTTTCTCATGAGTAATATCTGAAAAGATAATGAGCAAAACGCGACTACATGATGTAAAACCAAAACACAAACAAAACTCACATGAAGAAACCTGCAGTGTTCGTGGATCTTTATGCTAGATCTTCCTTTAAAATGCATAACATGACAACGTCCCTTGCTCTAATTGGATTCTTGAGCATTGAGCAACCACAGCAAAACATTACTGTTTATTATAGTTTAAGAAAAAGAGCACTAATTTAAATTTTCTGACATGAGGCATTAATCATTCTGGAAACACACCATCAAATGACAACAAGTGACTCCACTGTCTCTGAAACTCTTGAAATTTGCATATGATTCCACTGCTAATAGTCTGATTCAGAATGATGACAAGTCTCCACACAGGCAGGAGATGCATCTGCTGGTCCATTGGTGCGGTTAGGACCGGCTGGAGCTGAACCCACTCAAGACAATTGAGATGCTAGTGAGTTTCCAGTTAATCTTCCCCCACAACCTCAATACTTCCAACAATGCTGTTTCTACTGTGGATCACTTTCCAGGAACCCAGTTTTCTTTGCACACTATTTGGAAGAAGGTCAAGCACAGACTATACTTCCCACCATGGCTACATTTACCATTTACCAAAGAACTGGTTATGTGCAGAGTATGGAGTTTCCTATTCAAATTCAAATGTTCCTTCTTTTATAATCTTAAGAAAGGTCAAGCGCACCACCTATGGTACATAAATTGTTTTGCACACATAATTGTACCAATGGATTTTTCTTTTATATTTGTGTCCTTTTTGTCACAATATAACAACAAACTTTAATTTATCAGGGATCTGACTTGTGTTGTGTCTTTGTGGTGTTTTTTTTCCAGTGGTGTTTCTTTTTTTCATAGGCTGGGCCTTGAGCACTGTGCTCCCACACACTCCTGCAAACCATGAAACCCAATCAGATGAAAATTAAACGTTGTTTTGACACTTTGAGCAGCTTAAATTGCTAGACGAGCATTTAAGTATTAACGCTGCGTTTCACTTCTGAACAGTAGCAAATTACTCTCAAAGATATCTATTCTTGCTTTTGCCCAGAATGTGAGACTTCTCTTCTGATCTATTCATGCAAAAACACTGGACAACTTTGCTTCAGGACCAGCAGCAAGTGGCAGGCCTTTTTTTTCCCTGGAACATCCAAGCTCTTACCTGGCTGCTCTCTGGTCCTTCACCAGAACCTTCCTCGGTCACATGGCTTCAGGATTTAGCTCACCACACCAATCGACACTTCCTGGACTCGGCTCTTTCCTCTCCTAACCTCTGAACAGTAAAATCGAATCATTAATATCCATTCCAACAATTCTGTCTAAGGTAGCCGTAGTGCTCACCCGTCTTCCTCGCAGTGATACACCAGCCAGAGTTAAACACCTCGGACCTAGAGTCACTCTGAAACATTGTGTTTCAGAGTACCTGCTGAACCTGCTGAACTTGTTAAGCTTTCATTGTTGCCTCCTGAGAGTTTCACATGAGTCAGAATGTGCCATGCTTTTTAGGGAGGTATTTTAGGTGAAGGAATAACAAAAAGGAAAACTCGACCAAATCTTGCAGATTAAGAAATCTGGTCCTTGTACTGCCTTCAGATCGACACCCTATATCCAGGAGTGGGTCAGCCAGATGGTGAACCTTCATTTCAGTCGAAGCTCTATTGAAATGTTTTGTCATTCCCTTAAGCTCAATCAAGACTCCTATCATCTCTGACCATTTTATTTGTACCTGCTGAGGAAAATGCAATACCAAGGTACACAGACACCCTAACACTTTACAGAGCAGATGGCATTTTGAGGGTGATTTGCAGTTTTGCTTTTCCATCACTTTTACAACCTGGCATTTAAGTCAGATTTATTTCCACTGATCAGTTCACCGTCTTCCTGAGGTTTGTGTCCTGCAAATCATACTCCTTTAGCATTTCTTGAGAGCCAGGTTTGTGGATTCTCTGCTTAAATTACTTCTCCAGTATTTTATCATCTGGTATTCATGTTGTTCATTCACTTTTACTGGACAATCACTCTTTCCACATTTTATGCTACAGCCATTTTCCAAATTGCATTTAATTCTTAATTCTACACCATTATGAAAATGAAAAAAACAATTTTGAATGCTTTGTAAATGTTTTCAGAATGGACAACCAAGAAATCACATTTCTGAAAGTATTTGCAGCCTTTACCACAAAGTCCAAAATTGATCTACTTCCAGCTATTGTCTGTCAGAAATTAAGCTGAAATTAAGTCCAAATGTAGAAAATTCAGTTGATTGGATTTTATGTGTCAGAGCTCCAGCATTACTCTGTGGCGGGAGGAAAAGTTTCCAGAACCATCTCTTGAGAGATGGTTGTCTATATCTGCAGCAATAGACTCATCAAGCCTGCAGGGTAGCGTGGCCAGATGAAAGCTACTTCTTGATAAAAGGCAAATGGCCGCCCATTTATTATCTTTTCTTCCACTTTACAATCATAAATTACGTTGTTTTTGTTGCTCAAAACATACCTATACATTTGTTAAAGTTGGAGGTTGTAACATGAGCGAAAGCTAAAGAGGGATCAGCACTTTGGAAGGCCCTCTATGCATGGGTTAGGAGATATTTGATTAGTACATTCTCTATATGGGTGTTCTTTTGTCTGCAAATTTAATGAGTTAACTGCACTGAGTTTCTTTAGGTTGTTTTTCTCTCTTAAGAGAGTTTCTGTAATCATTATCAAATGTGTAGTTTATTTGTATCAGGTGGTAGTGCCTTTTGTCTTGGTCTGAACCTGAAAAGTCTTGGTTTCATGTACTGACAACTTAAAGCTGAACTGTGGTCATGCAGCTGGAGAGGGCAACACTTCTACCATATTGAAAGTAGGAATAGTATTAAGTGCGAACCCATCGCACAGTAAGATGGCTTACCAGGTAAAGCGCTAAATTAAAAACTACTTATAACTTATAGCTTTTAAACAGTTAAAGGGTATGAAACACCCGTTGAGGTCATTGAAACCAGTCAATGCTGTGAACAGAAACTTTGTTTTGCAAAAGCTGAAGTCACATCTTATTTACATCAACACATTTCAAATTCTTAGAACTGACTAATTAGTAAGGATGTCATTTCACACATGCAGGCACAATTCAAACTGTTTTAGTTGTATCTAGTTATGATTCACAGTTATGCTGCCACAGTAGCTTAAAGTGAGAAACAAGAGGAGGAGATGTAAAATTTGACTTCCCTTTTCTAATGAAAGCAGCCTGTTAAAGATGATGTGACTTTGAGACTACATTTTCCTCTACAGTAACAGCTGCTTGTTTTAATATCCCATAATAGACCATA